GGCGTGGCGGCACCCCGCCCGCGACCCCGTCTGCCGCGGCGCGTCTCGTGGCGCTGCTGACGCAGGAGCTGGCCGCCGCGAACCACGCGCCCTTCTCGCGCCTGGCGCGGCCGCCGGGCGCGGCGCTGCTGGCCGCGCTGGCGCGGCTCGACCCCGGCGACCCCGCCGCGCCCTGGCTGGAGCGGGGGCTGGACCAGGCGCTGCGCACGATGTGCCTGCGCGCGCGGCGCGAGACCGCGCTGGGCTGCGGCGAGGAGGCCGACGCGGCGGCCGAGGCGCTGGAGCGCGCGGCCGCAAACCTGGTCGAGTCCCTGAGCGAGCGGGAGGCTGTGGTCGGCGCCGTGCCCAAGAACCGCCCCTGGACCACCGGGCACGGCGCGTGCGCTCTGCGCCTGCTGCGGGAGCTGACGGAGTGGATGCCCTGCCTGCTTTACAGCCGACCCGTCGTGCGCGCCACGCTGGGGCTGGGCGGCGGTGGGCCTGACGCGCCGCCCGCGGCGCAGGAGTGGCTGCAGCGGATGCCACGCCTGGCGGCCGCGCGGGCGCCGGGTGCGGCCTCCGCCGCCTTCGAGACCGTGCTCATGGAGGGCCTGCTGGGGCCAGGAAGTGGGGAGTCGGCGCCGACGCTGGCCAGCCCCGCCGTGCTGCCCGCGATGCTGGCCCTGGAGCCGGGGGAGGAGGGCGGCGCGGGGCATCGAGGTGTGGCGGCGACGGGGAGCGAGGGGGGGAACGTGGGGCAGGGTTTTGTTCCGCGAGGCTCTGGCGCTGGGAGGGGGGTTTCAGGAGGCTCCGCGGGTGGGGTTGCGATGTGCTATGGGGTAGTGGACGTGAGGGCATCAAGCATGTCTACCCGGCTGGGTGTGGACACGATGTGCATGTCCACCTGTACTGTAAGGTCACACGAGGTCCCCCGCCCACTCGCCCGACCCTTCCCCGCACCGAGCCCTGCACCCAGGCTTCCTGATGTGGACCGCCAAGGTCAGGGCACTCGGGGCCGCGCAGACCCAGCTGCGCGGCCTCGAGGGCGCGGCTGCGCACGACGCCCTCCTGGCGGCCGCGATGCATGGCCTGCAGGGTGCGGGCGATGAGGACCAGCCCCTGGCAAACAGGCGAGCTGGGATGGTGTTTCCGCGTGCTGGGGCCATGTTTGGTGTCGTGGTGCAGCGGAAGGGGCTGTGCTTCAGTCCCTTCCCCCCCCCCACTCTGCCACACAGGTGCCTGGAGGCGGCGGCGCTGCTGATCCTGGGGCTGGCTGAGGACAAGGAGACGACGCAAGACCAGGCGCCCAGCACACCGAGGCGGCCAGGGCGCTCGCTCCTCCGGCTGGAGGGCGCCACGCCGGCTCGGGCGCTGCTGCGCGCGCTGTGCCGCGCCCCGCTGGAGGCCGGGGACGAGGGCGCGGCGGCGGCGGCGGCGGCCACCGCCTGGCACTGGCTGGCGGCCGCGCTGGGGCCCGTCGCGCGGTCCGCGGTCTTGGAGGAGCTGGCGGGGGCGTGGCGGGGGGCCATCGCCGCGCGGCGCGGCATCTACGCCGGCGGCGCCGCGCCCCACGCGGGGTTCGCGGCCGACGCCGAGGCGCAGCGCGGCGCGGCGACGGCGGCGGACGCCGCGCTGGCCGCGCAGCTGCCGGCCGATGCCGCGTCGCTGCGCGCCATGCGCGCGCAGCACCTCTGCGTCGCTTTCCTGCTGGACGCGCGCGCGGCGCTGGAGGGCGACGCACGCGCGGAGGCCCAGCGCGCGAGGCGCACGCTGGCCGCCCTCTCCTCCGCAGCGCTGGAGCCGGGCGCGGGGCTGGGCCGCGCCGCCGCGGCCTGCGCCACGCGCTTCCGCCTGGCGCAGCTGGCGCTGCGCTGCGCCGACGCCGAGCCGGGCGCGCCGGCCGCGCAGCGCGCGCACCGTGCCCGGGTCTCGCTCGCCCTGGACTCGGCGCTGGAGTGGTTTGACGCGCCGGTGGCGTGGCACCAGGCCGACGGCGCGGCACTGAGGCGAGCAGTAGGAATTGTTTTGGGGGGGTGGGGAGGTCCATGAGTTCGGGAACGTGGGCTGCAAAACCGAGGGGCGTCTTGATAACCTGCTCTGTGCTCCCCCTTGCCTTGCCATGATTAAGAAATTGGGGCAACCGCAGGTGGTGTCCCCTCGACAGCCTCTCTGCATCAACCCACCGATCAACCCTCAGGGAGGCGACGCGGGCGGTGTCGGCCGTCCAGGAAGCCGTGGCCCGCCTGCCCATCTGGCCTGCCAGCGACAGGCTGTCGGTGGAAGATGCCAAGCAGCGACTGGCCCTGCTGCGCTTCCTCCTGTCCTCAGGTGCTGCGTCGGATGCTGTGCTGGGGCCATGTTCAGGATCGCCTGGGTGACCCTGGGGATGTGGGCATGCACCACGGTCATGTGCATTGCCAGGCTCCGCGCCGCCCACCTTGCCCCACCTCCTTTCCCGGACCCACCCTCCCAAGCCGCAGAGCTGGAGAGGCTGGCGGTGTGGGAGTCGCCCCTGGACACCAAGGCTCATGCAGCAGTCGCGTGCGACTGGCCCACCGTGGCGCAGTGGGAGACGCTGGCCGCGGCGGCCTGGATCGCCTCGCCTCGCCTGGCGCTGGCGCTCAAGGTGTGGTCGGGGCCGTGCGACGGGGTTCGGTGTGCAGGGCAGGGCACGGGGTGTGCTGCACGCTGCATGCAGTTTGTCTCTGCAAAGGTCCGCAACAGTGCAGTCTGACCAGCTGCCTGCCCTCACAGCCAAATCATTGCTGTCGCGTCCCCCCACCCATCGCAGGATCGCTTCCCTGGATTTCCCGCCCTGCGCCTGGAACTCGAGCGCTTTGTGCTGGTGAACGCCGCTGCAAAGTCGCTGCAGCTCCTGCCTCAAGCCGGCGCGCTGCTCGCGGAGATGGCTGGGGAGCCCGCGGCCGCAGACAAGCTGGTGCACCTGCAGAGCTGGGCGCCGCTGCCCCTGCTGCAAGCACTGGCTGTCGTCAATTCCGCGGGTGGAAAGTGAGTCGACGGTGTGGGACAGCCCTTGGGGTGACAGATGTTGCAGGGACCCACTTTCGAATGGGAGGCTGCAATCCGTGCATGCTGGCCTGGGTACTCTGTTATGCTGTTGGTGTGTCTGACCAGGGGCTAGTGAATTATACCTGGTCACTGCGTTGCAAGCACTGGCTGACTCCTGGGCAGGGTATGAAGTTGGTTGTGGTGTCACGGCGGGCTGGTTGGCAGTTTCTTGCATCAGAATCCACTAGGACCTTCGACACAATCCCTAACCCCTTCACATCCCGCAGGAAGCCCGAGGTGCTGGAGTACCTCTCGCGCTCCCTGCACGAGTGCAACCCCGAGGAGGTGGCCTTTTTCTTGCCCCAGCTGGTGCAGATGCTGCGCACCGACCACGACGGCGTGGTGGCCCGCTTCCTCCTCGATGCCGCGGCCGTCTCTGTGCACTTTGCCGTGGTCCTGGCCTGCCAGCTGCGCTCCGAAGGCACGCCCCCCGACGAGGCCTTTGACCCACAGGTGAGCACCTGAACGAGATTGTGTTTTTGGATGGTTGGGCCGAACCCCTAATAACAAGTAGAGAGGATTGTGGCATGGTTCCTTAGGTCTCAACCGGGTGGACCACGTTGTTCCTTCGTGACCTTACAAGCTTGGCAATGAACAGCAACTCCGACCACAAACTGAAGATCGACATCCCAACCACCTGCTCCCATGCCCTCCAGGTGAGGCGGTCTGGGTGGTCTGCCCCCAAGGATTCAGGACTGTGGCAGGTTGCCGACAAGCTGCGGACCAGGCTAATGTCAGGACTCCCGGAGGACGTGGCAAATCTGCTGAAGGACGAGCTGGCATACTTTGATGACATCACTGAGGTGTCAGGGAAGCTGTACCCGGTTCACAAGGTGAGGATTGTGGTGTGTGGAGTTGGGTAAACGGAGGATGGGAGGGGCGAATTCATGTCCGGGCGACAGTGGTCTGTGAGGAGGAGGAGTGCAGCAAGAAGCTATTGGGGTTTGACCCTCTGCAAGAAGGAGATTGGAGGAAATCATACCTCCTCCGCCAGATGCACAGAGGCATGGCCTGACTTACCCATACATGGTACCCTGCCTAATCATGCAGGACAAGCGAAAGTCGGCTGCAGTCGAGTTCCTAAAAGCTGTGGAGCTCCCCAGGGGCGACCTCTTCCTGCCAACCAACCCCGACTGCACCGTGCTGGCGCACATCCCAGAGTCCGCCGCTCCCATGCAGGTCTGAGGGGATTGTGCAGGATGCCAGACGCCCGGGCTGACCCTTGCTTTTTTCCAGAACATGTGCTTTGTCTGCATGCTGGGTGTGAGTTGCCACGGATGGTCCACTTCAAACTCCTTCCCCCCTTACTCTCTTTGCAGTCCGCCGCCAAGTGCCCCATCCTGGTGGCCTTCAAGGTACATGTGCGCCAGGACGTCCACCCCGGGTTTGCAGACGGCGAGGTCGAGGAGGCGGGCAGCCAGGGGTCGGGCAAGGAGGATGAGGAGCCGGAGACCCGCGCCTGCATCTTCAAAGTCGGGGACGACTGCAGGCAAGACATCCTGGCACTGCAGGTAAACGCCAGGGAAGGGGGGAGTCAATGCTGGCACAATGCATGGAGACCTGCTGGATACATCGAGATTGATTTAGGAATTGGGTTGTTTGGCATGGGAGGGTTGATGCAGCACCTGCCTGTGCAGCATCCTTCAACAACTGCGATTATCAATCCTGCTTCCCTCCATCATCCACATAAAGGTGATTGGCCTACTCAAAAAGGCCTTCCTGACGGCGGGTCTGGACCTGTACCTGTTGCCGTATGGGGTCATCGCCACAGGCTATGAGTGTGGTATCATTGAGGTCATCCCGAACTCCAAGTCCCGTGCCCAGCTGGTGAGACTCGTGGTGCTGAGGAGTTGGGGATTGGATGCATCTGGCAGGCCTTGGCACCTTGACCTCGGCCCCAGAGCTGTCCTGAGCCGTATGCCACCTCTGTTCGCCAGGGCGAGCTCACCGACGGTGGACTGGCTGAGGTATTTGCCCGTGAGCATGGCCCTCCCGGGACCGAGCGGCATGAAGCTGCTCGACAGAACTTCATTCGCTCCTGTGCCGGGTGCGGTGGTGGGAGTATGTGCCTTGGGCTTCGAGGGGCTCGATAAGATGAGAGCTTAATGACTTGTGCGAGTATTTCAAGCTTCTCACAATCATTTGCCTGCATGCCCTTGCCATCATCCCCCCCCCCCCCCCTTCCAATGTGCTCAACCCTCCAGGTATGCTGTCGCCAGCTACCTGCTTCAGAGCAAGGACCGCCACAATGGGAACATCATGTTGGATGGCGACGGGCACCTGCTGCACATCGACTTTGGCTTCATCCTTGGCATTTCCCCAGGTGGGTGGCGGAGCGCATGGTGTGAGATGGGCTGAGGGGCATCCAGACTGCACCCTCGGGTATTCTCTTACAGTGTGTAGGAGGACCACGGAATTCTCTCACATGCCACTCTGCACTGCGCACCAGGTGGCAACCTTGGCTTCGAGAATGCTGCCTTCAAGCTGAGTTACGAAATGACCGAGATCATCGACCCGGCGCGCAGCAAGACCTCCCCCAGCTACCTCCACTTCAAGGAGCTCTGCATCAAGGGCTTCCTCACGGTGAGTGTGAGGGTCGTCGCCTATGCTGAAGGACAGTCACTCAGCCCGGCCCCCCTTCCTTCAAATACTCCTTTGTTCCATGTGCTAAAACAAGTTCGGTCACCTGCTGCACATCGACTTTGGCTTCATCCTTGGCATTTCCCCAGGTGGGTGGCGGAGCGCATGGTGTGAGATGGGCTGAGGGGCATTCAGACTGCACCCTCGGGTATTCTCTTACAGTGTGTAGGAGGACCACGGAATTCTCTCTCACATGCCACTCTGCACTGCACACCAGGTGGCAACCTTGGATTTGAGAATGCTGCCTTCAAGCTGAGTTACGAAATGACCGAGATCATCGACCCGGCGCGCAGCAAGACCTCCCCCAGCTACCTCCACTTCAAGGAGCTCTGCATCAAGGGCTTCCTCACGGTGAGTGTGAGGGTCGTCGCCTATGCTGGAGGACAGTCACTCAGCCCGGCCCCCCTTCGTTCAAACATTCCCTTGTTTCATGTGCTGAAACGAGTCTCCAACCACATTCCCCATGCAGGCTCGCAGCTCGGCAGAAAGCATCGTGGCCACTGTGGCGATGATGGCTTCCTCGCACCTTCCCTGCTTCAGGGGCCCCAAGACGGCCGTCGAGCTGCGGCACCGCTTCCGGCTGGACCTGGGGGAGAAGGAGGCCGCCGCCCACATGGACGGTCTGGTGGAGGCCGCCTACGGCAGGTGGACCACCGGCTTCTACGACTGGATCCAGTACCTGCAGAATAACATTCCCAAGTAGGCGCCAACAGGGCACCAGGTCTTCTCGGAGAGGACATGGGACACCCACCTTGTGCAGCAGTGAGCCTGCATCCTGCAGCATGTTCCCCTTTGCCCCCCAATTCATTCACTCCTGACATTTCGTCCCCCCCTGTCGTTTACCGATTCACGGACTTGCCGTGATCGATGTGCTTGCTGCCTGAATCTGGCGTCTGGAATGTCGACTGCCGAGCCCCTTCTGTCCTGCGCTGCCAGCGGGCAATTCGCTCCACACTGAGTCAAGGGCACGCACCAGTACACACCGATTACAATGGAGTCGTCCACTCGTGACACAGCAAAGGGAGAGAGGGTCGGTGCGCATGGACACACCCATGCCCAGGCTCTGCCACAGCCCTAGGCGCTACTGCTGCCCGCCGGCTTCTCCCTGTCGTAGTAGATGTCCAGGGTCTTGGCGGTGACGCGGCGAAGCAGCTCCCGTGGGAACAGACGCAGCAGCGTCCAGGCCAGGTCCAGGGATTCGTGGATGCTGCGATTCTCGTACAGCCCCTGTGTTTGATGGCGTTTTGTAGGGGAGGAGTTGTTGAGGCATTGAGGGAGCATCCTCGACCTTCTGACTCATCACCAGGGACTCGGAAAATGGTGCCTCTCCTCATGAATGCCAACCCTTCCATCGACACCCGCCACCCCTCTCCATCCCCCCCCCCGTCCCTCTCCGTGCCTGGTTGACAAACTTGGCCTCGAACTTGTCCAGGAACTGGAGGTAGAGGAGGTCCTCGGAGGACAGCGCCTCCTCCCCCACCACCGCCTTCATGCCCTGCACGTCCTTGCCGATGGCGTAGTTGGCGTACAGCTGGTTGCTGACCTCCGAGTGGTCGGCACGGGTCATGCCCTCCCCGATCGCGCTCTTCATCAGCCGACTCAGGCTGGGCAGCACGTTGATGGGCGGGTAGACCTGGCGGTTGTGCAGCTGGCGGTCCACGTATACCTGGCCCTCCGTGATGTAGCCCGTCAGATCGGGGATGGGGTGTGTAATGTCGTCGTTGGGCATGGACAGGATGGGCAGCTGGGTGATGGACCCGCGCCGCCCCTCGATCCGCCCCGCGCGCTCGTAGATGGTCGCCAGGTCCGTGTACATGTAGCCTTTGATTTGGTTGAGGGTGGGGAGGCGAGGGCAAGGGGGGATGCTATTGACATGTGTTGTGTGTGCGTTCCTGAAAGCGTCGGTGTGGATCAGGCGAGCAGGGAGACACATGCCGTCAGACAGGCTCTGGAGCTTCGAGGATGAGAGGGCCGACTCCTTTGTGCAGCCAGATCGGCACCCTCCCCAGCTCGGCCATGCTTTCAGAGGAACCCACATCCCTAGCCCGCGGAGTTGCCAACCCACCAAGCATGAGCAACCAGATGCACCCCCTCCCCAAACACACACACACCTGGGTAGCCGCGGCGGCCGGGCACCTCCTCGCGGGCAGCGCTGACCTCGCGCAGGGCATCCGCATAGGAGGCCATGTCAGTGAGGATGACCAGCACGTGCATGCCCACATCGTAAGCCAGGTACTCGGCTGGCAGGTTGGGAGGAGAGGTTGGACAGGTTGGTTCGGATGGGGGATGCAGGCTGTCTTGCGAATCGGTTTGAAACACAGCCTTGATTTAGCCACCCTTCAAGCACTACCCCTGAGATGTCATCTCATCCACCAAACAAGCCAGCGGGCCAAGCCACGCTCTCCCTTGCGTTCCCGGCTGCGCTCACACTTCGTTCACAAACATAATCAACCCCCCATCCCCCCCCCCGTCTCTTCCTCCACAACTCCCCGCACCGGTGGTGAGGGCGATGCGGGGGGTGATGATGCGCTCGATGGTGGGGTCGTTTGCCAGGTTGAGGAAGAGCACGGTGCGGTCCATGGACCCATTCTCCTCAAAGTCCTGCTTGAAGAAGTGGGCGGTCTCCATGTTCACGCCCATGGCCGCGAAGACGATGGCAAAGGGCTCGCGCGCAGAATCCTCCCCCTCGCCATGCGAGACCAAGCCCGCCTGGCGGCAGATCTGGGCGGCAATGTCGTTGTGGGGCAGGCCCGCGGCGGAAAAGAGGGGGATCTTCTGCCCGCGCGCGATGCTGTTCATCACGTCGATGGTGGAGATGCCGGTCTGGATCATCTCCTCGGGGTAGGTGCGCTCCGCGGGGTTGATGGACGCGCCGTTGATGTCCAGGAAGTGCTCCGCCAGCACCGGCGGGCTGGGCAGAGATGAGGGAGTCGGGCGTTGGTGGGAGGAGCAGTGGAAACCAGGGCAGGGATTCCTGAACGGGCTCAGGCCTGCACAGACTCTCCACTAGCACATACACTAGGACACCCCGGGGCATGCAACAGCCCAGCACCTCACCCTCCGTCAATGGGCTTGCCAGAGCCGTCAAACACGCGGCCCAGCATATCGCGAGAGACTGGGGTCTTCAGGACCTGCGGGTGATTGGAGGCACAGGATGGGAAGGTGGGACAGTGGGTACGACGGTCTCACACAGGATCTTCACACAACCTGTATCCACTTGGTGCGGCCAGATGCACCATCCTCCCAACACCCAAACACCCTCGTCTTGCACGTACATCTCCAGTGAACTCCAGGGTCGTCCTCTGGTTGTCGATGCCGGTGGTGCCCTCGAACACCTGAACCACGGCTCTGTTGCCGTCGACCTCCAGCACCTGCCCACGCCGAGCGGACCCATCACCCAGCCGGATGTTCACGATCTCGGCATACATCGGCTTCTGTTTGGGGTCGAGAGGAAACAGACGGAGGCTCGTGAAGTCGAGGTGCCAGCATGTCCACCCGTGCGACCCATACTCCGCAGGTGGTGAAACCCTCAGCTCGCCAAACCCGGCCCCGCCGCTGCACCTTGACCAGGTTGACGACCACCAGAGGTCCAGCCACGCCACCGACGGTGCGGTACTCTGCATAGTGGGGCAGGAGGTGGGACGAGCGATGGTCAGAGGGTGCTCCTGCGGGGCAAGGGTGAGTGCGGCACCCCCAAGACCTGGTGCCTCCCTTACCCAGGCGGGGCTCGCAGACGTAGTCGCGGGTGATGGCATCGAGCTGCACCTTGGAGCCAAGCTCCGAGGCCAGCACGTCGACCGCGCCCATGCTCGGAAGAGAGCCTCCTCGCTCTGTCTGGGAAGGGCTAGGGGGATCGCTGGAGCAGGCTTCTCGACCCAAACGCGAAGCTTCCAAGCTGGCCCAGAGGATGCGATTTGAAGATTTAGCACCCGTTCCCAGTAGTAACCGCGTGGTTGACTCGGCGCGCTTTGGGCCTCACTATTGCTTCCACTCCTGGTGAGGTCCTGTGCTGGGGCGCCAGGTCTCAAGCCGGAATCCCTCTGATTCCCCTCGTCTTCTTGGGATGTTTGTGACATCGCAGGAACTGCGCAAAGCACACCGAATATCTCATCGAACAAATTTCATCATGAAAATATTGCAAAAGGGATCTCCGGACTGAGCTTCGAGTAGACAACCTGTGTGCAGATCATTGCCAGCTGCGGCCTAGGCGACACTCCTCCCTCCCCCTGATCGCATGTCTTAGGACAGGGGAGCTACCATGGACGTCGGGAGCGCGGTTCTGGATGTAGCAGCTCTGCGGCAGCTCACCAATCCGGCAGACATCCCCCGCCTGCTCAGTGCCGCTCTAGTTCGGGAGCGTGCCATTGATACCGAACTGGAGGGGATGCTGGGAAGGCGTGAGGCCATCCAGGCCGAGATGCTGGAGATGACTGCCTCCACCAGCGAGGTGAACATTTGTGGCAGGCAGAGGTGTTGAGAGGAAGGGGGTGAGGCGCGGCATGGTGCCGGTTGGGGGTTTGGATGGGACCAATGGAGTGCAGCACATCACGGGCCCTGGAGATTTTTCAGCCATGCAGGAAGCCAGGCGATGAGAGATACTTTTTTACAGTCCATCCTGGAGCCTCACACTTCCCATCGTCTGCCCTTTCCCCCTCCATTTCTCGCAGGCGCTGCAGATGCTGGCCGTGGAGGCCGAGGCCCTGGAAGAAAGCACCGCCGGCTCCGCAAACCTGGCCCAGCGCGTCAGCTCTCAGGTGCGGGCCCTGGACGCCACCCAGACCCGGGTCCAGGGCGCGCTCTCCCACATCGCCGGCCTTCTGGGCCGGGCGGCGGCGGTGGAGGGCGTCGCGCGGGCTTTGGCCCGCGAGGATTACGAGGCCGCAGTGCACTGCGTGGACGAGTACTTGACCCTGGAGGAACAGACCCTGGCCGCGCTGGGGGCTAGTGGGGCGTCGCCGACGGCCGTCGCCGGCTCAAAGGCCGGCGGGGCGGGGGTGGCGCCTCCGGCCGAGCATGGCGTCGGCAGCGTGGCCTGCCTCGCCGGCGTCTCTGCCGAGCAGGCGGCTGCCTTTGCGCAGCATCGGCGCAGCGTGGAGGAGGCGGTGTCGGCGTGCCTGACGGCGGCCGTGGCAGCCGGCGACCACGCCGCCGTGCTGCGCTTCGCCGCGCTGCACCCGCCGCTGCGCCAGGCGCAGCGTGGCCTGGACGCGCTGCTGCGCCACCTGGCTGGCATGATATCCTCCCGCGCCGCCGCCGACCACGACGCGCTGGTGGGCGCGGTGGAGGGCACCCAGCCCGACTACGTAGGCGCGCTGACCAACCTGTTCAAGGACGTGGCGTCGGCCGTCGACGAGCACCTGGACCTCTTCATCAACAGCTTCGGCCTTGGTGAGCTCGGGTGGGTGGGAGGGGGGGAGGTGCAGGGCCCGGTGAGCGCCAGCATGATGTTATCTCGGCAGCAGGTTGCTGGGCCTTTGGTTCAGAGGAAGGCACTTCCAGGCCGGCAGGGTGCCCTTCTATCACACTCCGCACAGATCCCCCCACCTCCCCCCCTTTAAATCCCCGTCTCCTTTCCTTTAGACCTGGCCACGACGGCGGTGCTGACGCTGCACGGCGAGGTGGATCTGCACGGCAGCCGCATCCTACAGCGCTACGCGGACCACCGCCGTCTGGCGCGGCTGGCGGGCCAGGTGGCCTCGCACCGCGCCGGCCCCGCCGGCTCGGCGGGCGCGCCGCCCGTGGAGCCCCGCGCTGTAGAGGCCTGTCTGGAGGAGCTGCTGGCGCTGTGCGGGCGCAGCGAGGAGTACACCCAGTACATCCTCCTGCGCCTGGCCGACGTGGCCGGGAGTGGTGGGGCGGGCGCGGGGGGGCCCGGGGCGGGGCCGGGGGCGGGGGGCGGCGCGCCGGGCGGCGCCGGCGCCGGCGCGACGCGTGAGGCCAGCATCCGCGGCGGCGGCTTCGCGGCGGCGGTCCGCGAGCTGCTGTCCCACTACATCAGCCTGGAAGAGTACTACATGGAGGAGAGCGTGGCCAAGGCGCTGGCCATCTCGGGCGCGGGGCCAGGGGACTTGACCTCCAGCGCGGTGGACGACGTCTTCTTCGTGCTTTCCAAGGCCGGCGAGCGCGCGCTGGGCACGGGGCGTGCGCCTAGCGCAGTGGCCGTGCTCAACGGCCTGCACGGCGCGCTGACCTCGCGCTTCTGCGCCGCGGTGCAGGAGGCGCTGGTGGGCGCCGCGCCGCGCCTGCTGGCGGCGGCGGGGGCAGGGGAGGCCGGCGGCGCGTGGCAGGCCGGCGACGCCGGGGGGGCCTGGGAGGCAGGCGCCGGTGCCGTGCCCGCCGCCACCACCCCCTCCGCCGCAGCCACCGCCGCGCTGCCCTTCAACGACGCGGAGGTGGCGGCGGGGCATGCGGCCAAGCTGCGCGCGCGGCTGGAAGGCGCGGCGGCCGCCCGCTTCCGCGCCGCCTCGGACCGCGACCGGGTCCTGCAGGTCCTGGCCGACCTGGGGAAGGTCGCCGCCGACCTGCGCGCACTGTCGGCCGCGGGCGCGGCGGCGCTGGCGCAGGGCGCGCTGGGCGCGCTGCGCCCCGCGCTGGACGCCGCGGCGGCCGCCGACCTGGGGTCCGGCGCCGGCGACGACTCCGGCTCGCCCACAGCATGGGCGGCCGACCTGGCCGGTGCGCTGGAGGTCACACTCCTCCCCCTGCGCCCGTACCTGGTGCCCTCCCTGCACCAGAGCGTGGTCATGCGCGTCCTGGACGGCGTGCTGGCGCGGCTGGAGGCGGCCGTCGCCGCGCGCCGCTTCTCGCAGCTGGGGGGCCTGGCGCTGGAGCGGGACCTTCGCCTGCTCGCGGGCCGCGCCTCGGAGCTTGCGGGGCGGTCGGTGCGCGACCGCTTCGCGCGCCTGGCCGCCGTCGCCCTGCTCCTGGGCCTGGAAAGCGTGGCGGAGGCGGCCGACCTGTGGGCCGAGCCCGGGGGGGGGCTGGCCCTGCGCCTGAGCGAGGGCGAGGTGCGCGCCGTGCTGGCCCAGCGCCGGGAGTGGTCGCAGGACGAGATCTCGCGCCTGCGTCTAGCCTGATGATGAGGGGTCTGTGCGTGGCCTGCATCGTCCCTTTGCGGTTGACAACTGAGCAACAAGCACACATGCTCCTTAAGAACGCCACAAATCAGGCATCGGGTCGAGTTGAATGGCATGATCATGCTCCTGATCCCCGGTCCCGAGCAGCCGAACCGATGCGACGCCGAAGAAACTCCTACCGAGTGGATGAGGGCGGGGCACGCACGATACCCTCCCCGTGCCACATCAGATCCAGACGGGTGCATGCCGCGATCCGAGCTGCATTGCAAAGGCAACACATTGCAAAATATTAAATTGTATATAATCCTACATGCAATGCAGGCCCTGCGATCTTGCTGCGTGAGGGGCGTGGCGCCGGTGCTCTCGAGCCAGGGCGTCCGCTCGTCGACATGCGCCCTGCCCAGAACGGCGTGGTTCCTGTCCACGCCTGCAGCTCCCAAGGTAGGGAATCAACGAATAAGTACTGCATTGCGCTGCAGGGCATGTCTTTGTTGGAAATGGGTGGGCACATTGCCCCATTCAGCCCATCTTGGCCTCTCACCCTCCACCTCTCATCCATCGCCTCTCCTAGGTCTCAAAGACATGCTCCACCAGGTGAAGAGTGGCACAGAGAATGAATTTGACCCTTGCTCATGGTTTCCCATCCAAAAATGCCGAAGGCGTGCAAGGAACATATATAACTGATCGTGATCCCCGCTGCTGGTCACAGGTGTGGAGTCATTTCCAGGGCCAGTGCGTCACTTGCAGCTACAGATGAGCAGACTCGCCCTGCTCCCTCTCCTACAGAGGGTGGAAAGGTGTTGCTAGGTGGTGACGAGGCGCCCTGCCTGTTCAGTCAATGATGCATTGCTTGATTGCCGATATAGAGTGTGATCCCAACCCAAGAGGATCTCCCTGTGATCTACCCACTTGAACCCTTGCCCACAGGTGCGTGTGCGCTTCGCGCCTTCCCCCACCGGTAATTTGCACGTTGGAGGAGCCAGGACGGCCCTTTTCAATTGGCTGTATGCCAAGAACACACATGGCGAAATGGTGCTCCGGTAGGGGCCTGGGGTGTGGGAAGTGGGAAAAAGGGAGCTCCACAGTTTGTAGGCCCAGGGATGCTTTGCAAGCATGCATATGCGTTGGCAGCAAATCCACTTTGGGCCTGTGGCCACTTGGAGGACTGATCTCCTGCATTTTCACTCTGACCAGTGCATACATATACATGATCGGGAATGTATTATTCCATCTCACATGGCAGGATCGAGGACACCGATGCCGCAAGATCCACAGCAGAGTCGGAGGCAGCTGTCCTCTCGGACCTAAAGTGGTTGGGCCTGAAGTGGGACGAAGGTAGGCTGCAGGAACGGCAGGCAGGGAATGTCGAGTATGCGCAGGGCTTGCACGGCTGGACCCCTGCAGCTTTGACAGCACAGCCCCTGCCAAACGCTCCAATCTCAGAAAAGGCAGCGCAAGCATCCCATATCTGCCTATTCATTGACATTCTACTAATCGCACCCCCCAGGTCCCGATGTGGGGGGTCCGCATGGCCCTTACCGCCAGTCGGAGAGGCGGGAGATCTACAAAGAGTATGTTGACAAGCTGGTCGAGCAGGGCCTTGCCTACCCCTGCTTCTGCAGTGACGAGGAGCTGGAGCGGCAGCGAGAGGAGGCTGAAGCTGCCAAACAGCCGCCCATTTACAGGGGAAAGTGGGCACAGGCCAGCAAGGAGGAGGTGGAGGAGCAGATGCGGGCCGGGACGCCCTACTGCTACCGCTTCCGCGTGCCCAAGGATGAGGTCATTACCATCCAGGTTGGTTTGGTGTTTGGCTGGGAGGGGCTGCCTGGCATGAACTGGTATGCTTTCTCGTGCTTGTGCTTGGCATCTTGGAATCAGAGTCTAGGAATGTGGATTTCAGCTTGCTGAGAGCAGGTGTGCCCGGGTGCACTGTGTCACCGTCCCCCCTTGCCCCCCTCTTTCATCACCAGCCCCCCTCAGGCCACCCCCCCACTGCCCCTCGTAATACCAGGACCTGATCCGTGGGGAGGTGTCGTGGAACACCGACACGCTGGGCGACTTTGTGGTCCTGCGTTCCAACGGCCTGCCGGTGTACAACTTTTGCGTGGCGGTGGACGACGCGCTGATGAAGATCAGCCACGTCATCCGCGCCGAGGAGCACCTCCCAAACACCCTGCGCCAGGTGTGCCGTGGCGGTGTGCGTGATTGTCGACTCGGAGCATCACCACCCAGTGCACCACACCCCCCTTAACCCCCAAAGTGACGCGAGCAAAGCAAGCCCATGATGCAGGTGCTGGTATACAAGGCCCTGGGCTTCCCCCTGCCTCAGTTTGGGCATGTGTCCTTGATCCTGGCGGCAGACAAGGCCAAGCTGTCCAAGCGCCACGGCGCCACCTCGGTGGGCGAGTTTGCGGGGCAGGGCTACCTCCCAACCGCCATGATGAACTTCCTGGCCCTCCTGGGTTGGAACGATGGCACGGAGCGCGAAATGTTTGACGCCCGGGAGCTGTCGGAGGCCTTTTCCCTGGACCGCATCACCAAGTCCGGGGCGGTGTTTGACACAACAAAGCTGGCCTGGATGAATGGTGGGGCGGGAAGGAGTGGGTTGAGGATCCTGGGCGTGGAGACCTGTGCTTGCTCTTGAAAGGGTTTTGGATTTGAGGCTGGGCTGCCGGCGTGGACGACTGGAGCAGGCGGTCCTGCAGGTTCCCGTGTCATCTGGAAGGAGGTGTGACCTTTACGCTGCTTTCTGGCCGACAGCAAGTCGTTTCCAGGCCTTTTGAAGGCACACACCAGGCCGCACGACCTGCACCATCCCTCCTCTCTTCAAACAGGCCAGTATCTGCGGGCCCTGCCTCAGGAGGAGATGGCCCAGATGGTGGCGGAGGTGGGGGCGGCCAAAGGCCTGCTGGCACGACCCGCGGTCACGCCCTTTGTACAGGCGGCCACAGAGCTGACGCACCAGTCGTTGGAGCTGGTGAACGATGCCGTGACCCAGATCCAGTGGCTGCTGCAGTACCCGCTGGAGGAGACTCTGGCTAGCCCCGACGCCGCCCCTTTCATCGAGGACGGGTTTGCCGACGTGGCTCGCGCCGTCGTCGCCGCCCACGCCGATGGCAGCCTGCAGGCCGCCCTCACCGGGGGACCCGACGCCTACAAGGTAGGGATTTTTGTGTTTGTGTGTGGTGGCTTGGAGTTTGAGTAAGTTGGGGGTATCTATGGACGATGTCCTGTCCTGGGTCCGGGCCGACCTGAGTAATCCATGAAGGTTGCCTCTGACTTGTTGACTGCGAGCAGGGCATCTTTGCACCCGTTGCAGTCTTTGGCCGTGTGCGGTCCTTTCGTGTTCAGTCCTCCTCCACCCTTTCGTCAAACCTGCTCCCCACACACGCACACACACTCGCTGCCAGTCCTGGATCAAGGGCCTGGGCAAGTCCATGAAGCGCAAGGGCAAGCGCCTGTTCATGCCGGTGCGCATCGCGCTGACGGGCAGCCAGGCAGGCCCGGACGTGGGCCAGGCCCTGCGGCTTTTGACCCTGGAGGATGGGGACCTGGCGGCCGGGGTCACCGTCGTGCACCTCGACGACCGGATCAAGGCGCTGCAGGCTTGGCTGGACGCCCGCTCCTGAACGCGGCGGTGGCGTCTCTCTTACCATCGATTGGCCTGACTGGTGTCTTCAAGAGCACTGCCTTGTTGTTTTCTGTAACTAGACACTGCAGAGCTGAGTAGACCCCCCGCCCTGTGATAGGCCCTTCTTGGCTTGCACTGATTCTCAATAGAGGAACCTTGAGCTGGTGCATGCCTCGTTGAGGCGAGAGGGAAATGGCAACTCTGTAGACATGTTCCCTACGCGGTCTCCATCACGCCAGGGTCACCCGCTTGCCCTTGTCGCGCGGGGAGATGGGGTCTGACCCCACCCCCGGCGTTCGCCCCGCCTGGAAGCGTGTGTACACCGCGTCCAGCCTCGCCCGTTCAGCCTGCGGCACCGAGGGCCGGGCGGCCGCCAGCGCCGCCTCCAGGTGCCGCTGCATGACCACTGGCCGCAGCGCCTTGTCGGGCGAAGCGGGGGGTGCATCGCCGCCATGTTCACCGTTCCCATCGATCACGCCTCCAGCAGCCTGCGCGCGCGCCTCGGCGCGCTCCAGCGCCTCGTGCGCCGCCGCCAGCTGGGCCTCGGAAAGCAGCGCCGCCAGGTCGGCGCCGGTGAAGTGATCGGCGTCGTGGCCCAGGCGCTGCAGTTCCACGCCGGTCTCCAGGGGCATGGACCGCGCCAGCGCGGACAAGATGAGGCCGCGTTCGCGCGGCGTGGGGAAGTCGCAGAGCAGGAGGCGGTCGAGACGGCCCGGGCGCAGCAGCGCCGCGTCGAGGAGGTCGGGGCGAGAGGTGGCGGCCAGCACGCAGACGCCGCGCAGGCCCTCCACGCCGTCCAGCTCGGTGAGCAGCTGGTTGACCACACGGTCCGTGACCCCGGTGTTGTCGTGCCCGCGCGCCGGCGCGATGGCGTCGAACTCGTCGAAGAAGAGGACCGAGGGCGCGGCGGCCGAGGCCCGGGCAAACACGTCGCGCACCGCCGCCTCCGACGCGCCGATGTACTTGTTCAGCAGCTCCGGGCCGCGGACCGTGATGCAGCGCACGCCCGCGGCGGCCACCGCCGCCGCCACCACGTGAGTCTTGCCGCAGCCGGGGGGGCCGTAGAGCAAGACCCCGGTGCGCAGGCGCAGGGGGGCCTGGGTGCGATCGCTTTTTTGGGGGGGGTTGGATGTGAGCGTACACGCATGACAGCCTCACATTGCCGAGGTCATGGATCCCCACGCCCTGTGCATCCAACCACTCCTCCCCGCTTCCCTCACCTGGGCCAGCAGGGCGGCATGCTTGATGGGCAGCTCCAGGGACTCGTGCAGAACCTCCCGCACCTCCTCCATGCCACCCACGTCCTCCCACCCGGCCGCGCCCTGACGATGGTGGTGGTGGTGGTGGTGGGGGGTGATGCATCGTCCAGAGGGCAGAATATTGCATCCCTGCCGTGCTAGGACGGGGCGACACACCCCAGCACCCCCCACCTTCTGCCGGGTCGGCACCTTGGTCTTCAGCACCCGTTTCCTCCACCCTTCTGTGCCAACGACCCCCCCCCTCACCAGCACGCCCCCCCCATCGGCCCCACAACCAAAATCCACCTGGCGGGCGGGGGCTTGGGTGCCCGCGCCCCAGTAGGCGGCGGGGATCATGCCTCGCATCGCCTCCAGCAGCTCCTCCTCGGTGGGCGCCGTGGAGGACCCATCGCTGCGCCCTCCCTTCCCACCCGCGCCCAGGCGCTGGCCGGCGGCACGTCGCGCCGCGAGGTGCAGCGCCCGGTCCGCCAGCGTGGCCAGGTCGTCGGCGTCGT